CTCTCTGGATGGGAGTGCTTCAGACCTCCACCTGGAAATTCTCTTCCCAGGATCTACTAAGTGCTCCAAAATGTCATGGCAGCTTAACTCACAGTATCTGGGGTCAGGTTCCCTAGATGTCAAGGGATTCTCACAGAGAGTTTGCATGGGGTGGGCAGTGGAGTCAGGAGAAGTGAGCAGGAAAGGAGAAGACTGAACTTCAGGCTCCCATTGGCAGCTAGGGCCCAGCAGCTGCCAACATTCACAGTAACCAGTGTCTGGTGAAGGGATCCAGGGCCCGACCTCAGCATTAGCCAAGGCTGCAAAGAGAGGTGAGCCGGGCATTAGCTTCTTTCCAGCTCCTCCTGTTAGCAGAATCCAGCAGTCCTGCAGGTGCCCCTCTTCAAAGTGCTCCTCTTGCCATTTGTCTTCAGTGTTGTCAGCCCCTTTCATTGGAAAATGCCTCTGCTGAACCCAGGGAAGAGAGTGGCCCACACCATGCCTTCTCTATCTGTGGCTTGAGCGGGACCCACCGGGGCCACTGGAGGCGTGGTGGCCTGGTGCTGGGTGGAAGGTGAGTGGGGAGATGATGAATGCTTTTATCTTTGTCCATCTTTCAATCATTTTCTTCGAGAGCCGCCTGCAGGTAGATAGACCTCAGCAGTGAGTATTAACTTTCTGCCCCAAAGAATCCAGTAATCAATCTGGTTTTGTACAAGTATGTTTCTCCTATTAGCAAGGTTTTACCTTATCTTTTGCAAAATAATAACTGAGCACTCTTGTGGTGCTCAGGGTCCCCTTGACTCCTTCTGGAGGCTGCTTTTTTTCCATTTTAGCTGAAAAGGGCCCTGAGCCACCTAGGAGATGCCTTTTGAACTTGACTTTCTGGGTATAAGGTTTGGGAGGGCAGTGTGGACTGGTGAGAGGGGTTTCATATGTACCTTTTTCATCTTTATTCTGGCCCAATGATTAGGGTGTTGACTTGGTGGATGTTGTCACAAGCTTTTGAAGTGGTCCTTCTTGGTTGGTGATCAAGGGTCTGTTGCAAACCTCTCAATTTTGGAACCAGGTATTGCTTTCCTGCTGTCCCTATAGGAATCGAATGCATTTTGCTTTTCTTGTGTCCCAAATAGATTTGTTCTACCAGTTATTTTTACCCAGGGCAAACACCAAGCTCTGTGTCTGAAAAGCAAAGCCACCTGCCAGCCACAACCAGGTGCATGTTGCATTTGGAGATTGTGTCAAAATATACTCATGATCTAAGAATAAAACCCCTAAGGGCCGTGGATTTAGCTCAGCGGCACCATGCCTGCCTCACAAACACAAGGTACTGAGTTCGATCCCTGGTACCCAAAAAACAAAACAAAACAAATCAAAACCTAAAAAACCCCAAAGAGGTTAACCTGATCTTCTAGAAAGCTATCTCAGGACAGTGGATAAAAATCAATAATCAACAGTATGTTAGACCTGAGGTAGTGCTTAATGTGGAGGTTTAGGACTCCCAGTGTGTTAATAAGAGCTGGATTCCTGTGATGCCATTTCATATCTTGCATTGTGTGTCAGGCCCTGGGCTTCCTGCTGGGCCATGTAGGGAACAGATCACCGGGCAGAGAGAGCCTTTGTCCATTTATTGGCCTGTGAGGGAGATGGAGATTAACAACGAATCCTACCCATAATTCACAGCTACTGGGCCAACGATTGATTACAACAGAAACTAAAGAAGGCGACACAAGAGGGACACTACTAGGTCTTGGTTATCCAGTAATGCTTAGAGTTGTTCAGAGGTGCAGGAATTGTTCAATCCAAGCTCCAGCGGGGAACAAATGTAGAAGGCAGGTCTTTTTGGTTTGTTTGGTTTTTTGGGTACCAGGAATCGAACTCGGGACCTTGTGCTTGTGAGGCAGACGGCGGAACCACTGAGCTAGATCCCTGGCCCAGGCAGATCTTTTTGGACACAGATCGTTTCAGGTTCAGTAGCTGAGCTGGAGACATCTACCAGCTGTTAGAAATGCTAGGGTCAGGGTGCAGCGTCAGAGCTGGCTTTGGAGGCCACTCAGCGAGGTGGTGACGAAGCCACAGGATGAAAGGTGGCTTCCATGAGAAAGGACAAAGAGCAAGCAAGAGGCTGGAATCTGGGAGACCGTCTGGACCAACCTTTTCTCAAAGCTTCTTACCTCCAGGCCCTACGGCTGTAATAGTTGTAAGAAGATCACTGTTCCCCCATGAGTGCCTTGTCTCTGTCCTATGGTGGTCCTCGCATGGCTCAAGGACTGAGAACTCCCTTCCCAAGTGTAGCCATTCCTGTGACTGAGCAGGCTCCTCTCTCTCTGCACATATCTTGCACATCCCTGTGCTCTCCATCCTAGACTCAAAGTGTGGGCCTCTAGCCATCCACAAAGCATTACCCAGAGCTGGCTACAACTGCGTATAAAGTCTGTGTTTTTACAAATCCCAGGACCAACCTACCAGCTGCAGAGTGAGAAGCACTGGTCTAGTTACCACCTCAGTGTCCGAGCCTGGTGCAGTCAGCCTCCCTGGCAGAGTGTGGTGTTGGTGGGTGCCACACCCATGTGAGCTCAGGTCACAGTCAGTTCCCATCGCAGGCAGCTGGACCCTGCTAGACACGCTGTCCTTCTGGGTGGCTCAGTTCATTGATTCTGCTTCAGCCTGGACCCAGGGTTCCTCCACAGAATTAGCAAGTTTCCTCTTCTGCCCTGCTTGCCTCTCTGTTCTGTCCCTGTTTAGGGACTTGGAGGAAGTATCAGAAAATAAAACAGCAAGGGCTGGGATGTAGCTCAGTGGTGCCGTCGCCTACCTCGAAAGCACAAGGACCTGAGTTCAATCCCCAGTACCAAAAAAAAAAAAAAAGAAAGAAAGAAAATAAAACAAAGCAAAAGCCACCAAGCTGAGGGAGGAAATTCAAGGGCTCAAAAGCTATAAAGAGGCCCAGGGAGATCAGAATAAAGCAACACCAGGACCCAGAGACCTTTAGAAAGCAGCTTTTATTTATATGAACATGATTTTTATGGATTTTAAGTGAATTCACTGATTTTAAGTGTACAACTTTATGAGTTCTGACAAATGTAACCAGACATGTAACCATTCCTGTCACTAAGATATGGAACCTTTCATCACCCAGAAAATTTCCTCCTGACCTTTTGCTTTCAGTTCCCTCTCTCCAAGCAACCAGCACTCTGCTTTTGTCACTGAAGTTTTGCCCTCCTAGAGTTTCCTATCAATGCAAGAATGCAGTAATATTGCATTGTGTCTGCCTTCTTTGATCTGCCAATGACTGTGAAATTCATCCATATTTTATGTACCGCTGGTTTCTTTATATTGCTTAGTAGTATTTCTCTGAAGAGATACCATAATCTAGTCATTTACCAATTGATGGACTTTTGAATTGTTTTCAGTTTTTGGATGATTATGAGCAAAGTTGGCATGAATATTTATTTATACATGTCTTTGGAGAAATTGTTTCATTTGAGAGTTATTTTTCCCCTTTTAAGCATTTTAATTGTTGTTGTTATTGTTGTTGTTTTTTGGGGGGGGGTTTTGGTACCCAGGATCGAACTTGGGTCCTTTCGCTTGCGAAGCAGGCAGCAGAACCACTGAACTAAATCCCTGGCCTGTTGTTGTTATTGTTATTTGGTGGTACTGGAGTGCTCTACCACTGGGCTACATCCCCATCCCTTTTTATTTTTATTTTTCATTGTGAGATAGTGTCTTACCAACTTGCCCACTTTGTGCTGGAACTTGTGACCTTTCAGTCTCAGCCTCCTGAGTGGCTGGGGTTACAGGTGTGTGCCACCATGTCTGGCTTCTTGTAAGCTTTTTTATTTTAAAGTAATTTTAGATTTATAGCAAAGTTGTGAAGCTAGTACAAAGAGCTCCCATATACCCTCTAGCTTCCCCTAATGTTAATATCAGATATAATTAGGAACTATGCATCAGAATTAAGGCATTAACATTAGTACAATACTGTTATCTAAACTCTGAACTTTATTCCGATTTTGTCAGGGTTTTTTTGTCTTTTGGGGGGTCAGTTTTTTAACGTCTTTTTCCTGTCCCAGGTTGTAACTAGGATCTCACATTGGACACAGTCATCACACTTCCACAGTCATCTCCAAAGTGTGGCAATTTCTTTCTCTTTCCTTGTTTTTCACAACTTTGATACTTTTGAAACTGGTCGAGAATTTTGTACAATGCCTCTCAATTTTTGGATTGTCTGTTGTTTTTGATCATTAGACTGGAATTTGGTTTGGGGGAAGAATAGCACAGAGGTGAACTGTATCCGCTCTCCCCGCATCATATCGGGGGTACACAACATCAACCTGACTAGTCTCTGGGGAAGCTGACCTTGAGTATTTGACCAAGGTGTTGCCTGCCAGAGAACTCCACTGTAAAGGCACCATTTCCGTTTCCATATTGTATTCACTTGAAGTGAGTCAGTAAATCCAGCTCACATTCAAAGGAAGGAAGATTAAGCTTTACCTCCTAGAAGGAGGAGTATTAAGGAATTTGTAGGCATAACTACAATCATTCCAATAATTAATACATAATTTTGGAGAGATGCTTTGAGCCTGTGTGAGTATTCTGTTTACTCCTAAGATTTGTCCTCTGATTTTTGTAAGTTTTTTTTTTGTACCAGGGATTGAACTCGGGACCTTGTGGTTTCGAGGCAGGCAGCGGAACCACTGAGGTAAATCCCCAGCCCTTGTCCACTGATTTTTAACATCTACCAGCAGATCCTGCCTGCAACCACTGTTACTATAGTATTCTTTTGGTGATTTTTCTGTCTCTCATTCCTTCTGTGTTTATTACATGTTTACTACATCTTTATCTAATCACTTATTTATATCAGTATGGACTCATGGATATTTATCTCATTCTTTTTTGTTTGTTTGTTTTGAGACAGGGTCTCACTATGTAGTTCAGGCTGGCCTCAAACTCACCGTGTAGCCCAGGATGGCCTCAAACTCACGCTGATCCTCCTGCCTCAGCCTCCTGAATGCTGGGATTATAGGCATGTACTACCTCGCCTGGTGCACATTATCTTATTCTTTGGTTGAGAGATGTTTTTAAACTAGGAAAACAGCCTCTCTGAGTCATGTAAGGGAAGGTGGTGAGGGAGAATTTAGATTCTGGGGAAGAGTGGTGGGGAAAAGCTTGGGAAGGTCAATTTGGATGCCGGGAGTGAGAATTTGTAGGCTCTCCCGTTAATTAGCTTTTGTCTTCTCAGTCAAGATGTTTCCTGAGACAGCAATGGGAAATTGACTTTGGGAATTTTAATTTTACTGGACAAAATTCTTGGCCCCTGAAGTCCTGTTTCTGGACGCCAGCACTATTGACATTTTGACCAGATAATTAATTGGGATGAGGGGCAATCGTGTGCACTGGAGGATATTTAACAGCATCTCTGGCCTCTACCTGTAGGAGCTCCCTCTCCTGTGCCCCCAGCAGTGCCCACCAAAGTGTCTCCAGGCCTGGTCAACTGTCCCCTGAGGAGCTAAATCACCTCATGCTGAGAACCATTGATCTAGAGCAATAGACGCCATCCTGGCAATCCAGAAGGTCCCTGGCCGTTACCTTTGAACAGCGAGAACGTGACCTTCCCATGTTGCTCTGCCGTAGAGGGAGCTAAGCTCCTCCCCAGTGCTGCGCGCTACCGAAGTGGGTAAAGGCAGGCGTCGCTTCCTGGGCACACGGGTGGTTCTCTTAGGACACAATCCAGGTGACTAAAGAAGAAGTGGGGTTCAGGTTTGCAGAAAGTCTGAGATGGTTTTAAAAAGTGTTGCTGTGTTTATATCCTAGCTTCGTGGTGGAAGGTTGTTTTGCTTTCTCTGTGGTTTCCGTGTGGGCTGCTGGAGGCAACATGGTTGTTATGACAGTCGGGGACACGGAAGCTCTTCTCACAGGTTAGCTTCTGAAAGCCCATTTGTTCTAAACCCAACATGATTCCTACTGAGCTGGGTGGGAATTGGTTGCTGGTGAAGCTGTTTCCTAAGACAGCTAGGGGACTTTGGGGGCCTTTACTCCCTTCACAGCGCTCATTTTACTACTCAAAGGTGCTTGCATTTTCGCCTCGTTTTTTCACCTTCACTAAGTTTTACCAGACATTGCTATTTCAAACTTAGCAAAGGTGACAGATTTAGGAACAAGGCCGAGACTCAGGCTGATGTGCCCTGTGTGGCCACTGATGCCATCTGTTGGTGACTGGCAGAACTGTTGCCCTCTGCTACAGTCAGGGCTTTGTTGATTACACAGAGAGGTTCAAGTTGGCAGTGCAGAACCTTGTTTCCACCTGGGAGGGTAGGATTGTCAGGATTGGGGAGGAATGGAAGGGACGGAAGTGTAGGTTTGCTTCGTTGGTCCTTATCAAAAGTCAGATGGTGCCAGGAATCTAAAGCTCCTAATTTTAGGAGAATTTTGATTTGGGGTTTTTTTGGGGGAGGGTACTAGGGATAGAACTTGGGACCTCGCGCTTGCGAGGCTGGTGGCAGAACCACTGAGCTAAATCCCCAGCCCTATTTTAGGAGAATTTTTCAAGGTACTGGCTGGGATACCAATGGGACCTAAAATCCATTACAAGTCAATCATCAGTTAAAGAATTGGGCTTTGAGAAGTTAACGGAGAAACAGACAGCTCTCTAAACTAAAAAAATACAGTCATCCCTGGAGTTAGCATGCAATCATTATTTATGGAATTTGAGTATTGGGACACAATAACTCCTCACTTTTCCTCAAAGAAACTAAGACAACAGCATGCAAAATAACTATTATGTTCTATCTTTTCTCCAAGTGCTTTCAAGTTCAGTACAATCTGTTTCTATACCAATTCATTGAGGCCGTTGTATTCCCATGCTTCTGATGACAAAACTGAGGTTTCCAGAGACTTAAGTTTTTTAGGTCTACATATCTGATTGAAAATGAGAGCCACAAGCCAGGTTTGGGGTCCTTTCAAAATCTCTGAATTGAGAAGAGGAGAGACAAGCACTGGCAAGGGGGAATCAGTGCGCCAGATACTGTCAGACAGACTGAGTCAGGCATCCCTTCTGGACCCTGGTGATTCTAATGCACTATCTGTGATCTGTGAGCTGCATGCCGTCAGCATAGCATCCACTGGGAGCTTGTCAGACATGCAGGATCTCAGGCTCCTATCCCAGACTTTCTGGATCTGAGTCTGCACTGTAGTAAGAGTCTCAGAAGATGCTTTTGCAAGTGAAGTTTGAAACACAGGTACTGCCACTGAGGCCAGACTTGCAGAGCTGTCCATTTTTGATGGAGACGTCTGCTTGCATTTTATTTTACCCTTTGTAGATGGCATGCAGGTCTGGCTGGGATTACCTCCATCCAGGACCTGAGGCTTCCCACTCCCCTTTGAGTTCTTCATGCCTCTTACTGAAGAGAACTCAGCTCCCCTATTCCCTCTAACATCTCACTCATTGCTAGCAGTCAAGTGTCTCTTGGCCTCAATTTCTGGGCACTTCATGGTGTGGACAGCAAATCCAGGGCGTTCACTTTTGCTTGGCTCCTGAGACTCTTGCTTTACTTCTAGTACAGCAGTTGCTTGTACTGGAAAATTGAGAGGCAGAAACTTTTTTCTTCCCTGAATAGAAAGTACTCAGTAAATGTTTGTTTTTGAATTTTTGAGTGAAATTAAGGCCGGGTGGGCATGTGGGAGGTGTTGGCACTATAGGAGTCTTCATCCCAGTTGGACTTGGCTTTAGTTGGAGGTCTTTCAGCAGGAGGCCCTGTTCTTCAGTAAAGTCCATCCATTATCTTTCTCAAGGAGGCTTTGTAGATTATCCCTTTTAAAAATTTTATTTATTTATTTATGTATTTATTTATTTAGGTGCCGGGGCATGAACCCGGGGTCTCACTCATGCTATGCAAGTGCTCTACCGCTGAATTACACCCCCAGCCCCTGGTTCATTTTTTAACATCCATTGCTATTAGGAGAGCCAGTCAGATCTTTTCAAAATCTACATTTCATTTTGGGGAGCGCCTAACTGAGACACAGCGGTCCCTGTTCAAACTCTTTTTGGGAACCCCCTGAGCCTGGGCTTGGCTTCTTTTCCTCTCCTTCTCTACTGTTCTCAACAAGCCCTCTTTGTGGAGGACCCTTCGGAGAGGGACAGAGTCGTTTCCTTTTCTGTTTCTTCTTTTCTCCAAGCTCCCCTCCACCACCTCCTGTACCGCTTCCAAACTTCCTCCCCAAAGGAAAACAACAACAAACCAAACTTTGTGAAACAAGGGAGGCTTGTCCCCATTGGTGAAATCCCTTGAAAGGATGTCACTGAAGAAAGGGTTTCTGCGGCCCCCTTTCTTCTGGAAGTGTTGGGAGGTCTCTGAGGACCCCACCTGGAGAGACTGGAGTGCTAATTACATGCACAGAAGCCATTCATTGGAGCTGCCGTGGTCCCAAGACCTTGCCAGTGCTCGTCATTCCTCTGAATCCAGAGGTTTGAAAGGACCCCAAACTGCCCTTTCTTCAGTCTCTTTTCACAGTGCTCCTCTCCCGTGCCCTGTGTTTCTCCTCTGTTGCCCACAGCAACCCGCCCCCCACAGTTGGTAGCTTCATGTGGAAGGAGCCGGCCAGGTTACCTTGGTGTCAAGCAACCCTGAGCTATTCACCAGAGCACAAAGAAACAAGTTTTTCTGAAAATCTCTGGGCTTAGACTACCTTCTGCATTTAGCTCGCTGCTTCCCAGTGCACTTTTGTGAGAGTCTCATTCCCTGCTAGCCTAGTGAGACACCGCCTGGCCCTAGCTCTCGAGGGACTTGTTTACCAACAGTGCTTTGTAAATTCCTTAGCACATTTCCTTCTGTTCACACCTTCCTTGCACATTCACATATTCAGCAGGCCTCTTCCACAAGCCAGGGTGTTACTGCAGGGTTAGCCTCCCATGGAGCCAATAGCCTGGAGAGGGGAAGAATTAAACGACTTGCCAGTGGTCATCCATGGGGACTAGACCAGGCTGTAAGATTTTTCTCTTTTTGCTCTTTACCATAAGAACAGGCTTGTCAAAAGGAAGTGTCAAAGTTGTCCTGGAAACAAATCATTAGCTACAGTAATTGAGCCATCCTTAATGGGGAAGGGGTGGCTCTGCCATTAATATGTATCTCAGTTTACAAATGAGCAAAAGAGGATTTGATTCCTGATACTTATTCTTGTGATTCTCTTGAACCTGTTTGAAGACTTTTCTATTTCCTTGAGCACCATAATGGTCCTCTGAGATGAGGACAAGACAGCAGAACACTGAAAGAGACCAACTCAAAGATTGTAACCTTTTTTTTCTGAAAGGGAAACATACAAATTTGGAAACATGAAATAATACTTATTATTATATCCTGCCTCCTGATTTCTAAATGTACAGTCCTTTAGATGCCAAGGACTGGTGTGTTCTTTGAGATATTTGTCAATGACATGAGAACCATGCTTTGAGTGAAGGCATTTTCTTCTGCACTGTTCATTTCTATTTCAATGGTTTGCCTCAGTACTTTTCTTTAATTAATACTGTTTATGCTCACTGATGAATAATTCAGAGTCACACAAGCAACAGATGTCAGAGGATTCAAAATGACTTTCTCTGAATTATTTATTATTTCCAAAAAAGTAACAGGTTTGTTGAACAAGTAATTGGCAACACAGATGTAGATCAAGGTTTGTCAGCAGGCAACAAGGTCTCCTACATCTTCCCTTTTAGTGCTTGTTAATAACCAGGACTGGGACTGTGGGTGCAACCAGTGGTAGAGCACTTGCCCAGCATGTGTGAGACCATGGGTTCAATCCCCAGCGTTAAAAAAACAAAAAACAAAACCCAGAACTACACTGCCTAGGGAGTCCTTTATTCATCGTATTGCTGACAAGCTGGAACCTTGTTTGGTTTCCAGGTTGTCTATGAGTGATGAAATAGAAATGGGAATTGGTCCAGAAATACAATGAATCAGTTCAGCCTTGCAGATAGCTCTCAGACATGACTTCATGCAAGTACCCAAAAAGAGAGGAGAGCTTTGTGTGCAAGGACGTATTCAAAATATATAAACAACCGGGCCGGGGATTTAGCTCAGTGGTTCTGCCTCCTGCCTCACAATAGAAAGGTCCTGAGTTCAATCCTTGGTACCCCCCCAAAAAAATTAAATTAAAAAAAAAACAAAAAACCTCCCCACAAATGAAAAAGAGACTAGAGACCTAGAAGGAAAGAAAATTTCATATATCTTAAAGTTATGTACAAGAATGTTCTTTGCATTATTGTTCATGACAGAATGGTTTTTTTTTCAGTACCAGGGATCAAACTCAGGACCTTGCACTTGCAAAGCAGGCACGGTGCCACTGAGCTACATCCCCAGCCCTCATGACAGAACTTTTAAAAAAGGAAAAAACCCTAAAGTCCAACAATGAAAGATTAGTTTAATAAATTCTAGTAGATCCAAGCAATGAAATATTATACAGCCATTAAATGATACATATTTTTGATTTGAAAAAGTATCAACATTAGATAGAAGATGACATTAAATAAAAGAGGTTATAATCTAGTATGGTTTCATTTCTGGAGAAAAAATGCATATGTGGCTTTTTGTAGGCATCGAGAAAAACCTAGAAGAAACTAACACAAAATATTCATAGTAGTTATTTAGGGATATAGGATCAAAGGTGACTTTTCTTCTGCTTCACATATTTTCTCATCTTCTGCACTATAAATATGCATGAATTAGTCATAGCAGAAGGTCAAGCTGCTGAGCAAGACACCCAACAGTACTGTGATTTGAAGAAAGGAATGAATCGCTTGCATTTAACAGTATGAGGAGGGCGTTTTAGGTGGGCAAGTGGCTCTGTTCCATTGGATTTGTGTGGACCCAGGTTCAGGTTTTTCCTGCCCGTGGCTTCTCCATTCATTGGGCTCTTGTCATCCTCTGGATGGGTGAGACAGGGCTGAGGGGCTGCAGCTGTCATGGGAAGGGAGAGTGGCCACGGGAGAGGCATACTTCTTGTCTCAAGGCCCTGGTCCCAAAGTGGACCATATCACTTTCGCTCCTGTCCCTCGGCAGGGACACAGTTCGGTGACTGTTACCCCACTGCCAGCTGCAGGGCAGGTGAGAACAAAACCCTCAGGACATCTGTGAGACTCTGCTAGGAAAGAAGAAGAATGAATTTTGTTGGACCATCCTCAGTCTTTGCTAACTATGTTACCTGTATAATAAAAATAATATAAACATTTAAGGCACTAGAGTTATAGGATAGATGTCTTCAGAGGGCATTTATTTCAGGGATTAAACATACAGAAGAAGCACACAGTGTGTGCACTGCTCTGCCAGGGAGTGAAAATCTGGTTGAAAAATGGGACCAGTAAGAATGCCATCGGCTAGAAGAATAGACAGAAGGGCGTGGAGAGGACTGCTAAAGGCCCTGAACTACCAGGGTTATTTGTACTTTTGGAAGAAGTGAAATTCCTCGAGTTTTGTGGCATTTTGGGGTAGCACGACTGCCCATTACACCATACAGGGACTGAATCATGTTTGTCTACCGACCTGACAATTTTAAGCTCTTGCTGATCTTCATTTTGTTGGTATTTACTGTAATTCCTTGTTTAATACATAGTGATATTTAATACAAAGTATCTTGAAAGAGCTAAGTTTTTGTTGTTGTTGTTGTTTTGCTTTTTTGTTTTTTGAGACAGGGTCTCACTATGTAGCTCAGGCTGGCCTTGAACTCAATGTGTAGCCCAGGCTGGCCTCGAACTCCCGGTGATCCTCCTGCCTCAGCCTTCCAAATGTTGGCATTATAGGTGTGCGCCACTACGCCTGTCTAGAGAGCTAAGATTTAAAGGAAACTCTTGACTTCATAATGTAAGAACTATCTTTTAAATAAAAATTTATAAACATGGCTTTATAGTATTTTAATCCAATCATCTCAGGACAGGTATTTATTTCTAGACTTATGATTATTACATTTTTTTTGCTACCGTGGATCGAACTCAGGACCTTGTACCTGCGAGGCAGACATGGTGCCACTGAGCTAAATCCCTGGCCCTATTTCTAGACTTATTTTAACAGCAAACCTAAAATATAGACAGAAATTTTACTATCTTTAATATATTTTTAATAATTAGACAATACATTATCTTTTTTCACAATTGGATTAAATTTTGCATATCTTTTGCCTTGCATCAGATTTTTCAACTCTGTGGAGTTTAGGTTAATAAAATTGAATTTTTTTTCTGGTTTTATGCATAAAACTTTTGAAAGTCAAATGGTGGAATTTGGTCTCTAACCCACCTGGGATGTGGTCCCTTAAAACATAGTGGTCTATATACCCCTTATTTGGTGTCTCTCTAGTATTCTTCAAGATGCAGTATTTGAAGAACATCAAGAACCATTTGGGGCTTTTGTGGTCCTTTTAGGAAAGTCAGGTTTGGGGAGCCTCATATGTCAAGAATGATTGCACACGAAACCTGGATTTGAAAATTGCTGTTTTGTAAATTGTGCTTATTATAGAAATAAAGATTTCAACAGCTGGGAAAGACTTTAAAAGTTGTGTGATCTATGGTAGTTGTCACATTTTGCGGGTGAGGAACTGAGACATGGGGAGGTAGGTTACCCATAAGAGTTCCAGAGTTCATCTGTGGCCAAATTAAGACTCATGGCTCTAACTTCACTCCCCTGGTCTCCAACCCCACACCCTTGGCTGGTGCCTGCTACATGGTAGGCGTGATGGCTTTGGGCTGGGGTGAAGTACAAGTGACGACCCACTCATCTCTGGATGTTTTGCCTGCAGAACATCTGCAGGGAGGATGAGAGGCATTTCTTGATTTATATTAATAATAAACCCATTTCAGGCAGAAATGGGACTTGCAGCCAGTTCTTTAGGAAGTTTAATAGCCCAAACATCTATAGATAAAGGATTTTTTTGCTAACTGTTCCTCAGAATGCTGAGAAGTGAAATCTCACAATTTCTTATCCTTTGTGATCTTTTTCATAATTGGATTAAATTTTGCATATCTTTTGCCTTGCATCAGATTTTTCAGCTCTGTGGAGTTCATTGAGAATGAGCTGCCACTTTGAGGGCATCGTTCTGGTTTAATTATTACAACATTTTTTGAGATGTTTTATGTCCTGGAGGTTTATTGATTTCAAAGACTGTAAATCTGTCGGCCCATCTATTTGTAAGTTTGCACTGAAGGACTGACCAGCACCCTGGGTTGGTAGCTTGCAAGTCTTGGGGAATTCATACTACTGTTGTTGTTTTTTTTTAAATTTGAAAACCATATAGATCTTAGTTTTTGAAAACATGGCTCTATTTGTCACTGAAGGATAGGAAGTTTTATGATCTAACGAGCACAGTTGGTTAACATGTGGTAGCTGTTGTTTTATTATTCCTGCTAACCTTTCTCATTCCATCCTCTTGCCTGTGTGTTGGGAATGATATCCATCTCAGAAAGCTGAGGATGATTCCTACTCTAATTTTGCCTCCTTAGATTCTGTTAAGCTTGCCGTCATTTGTAGACAACTTTTTTTTTTTTAATTCCCAGATTAAAAGCCTAAGCTTGTGTTGAAATGTTTTGTTCTAAATTGGGACCGTGTTGTATTGACATCACATCATTCATGTTTACTTCAGTCCTGGTATGGTTCTCTTGGGGTTGCTGTCATTGTTAATTTACATTTGACCTTGTTCTGAAAAATAGTTAAGGCAGTGGAGCCCTAATTTATTTAGAACATACTTAGAACGTACTGGCTCTTACTTTGCCAGTTAGCCTGGATCTGTAAAAATATTCATCCAATAACCTAAGAAATGGGGAGAGAAAATAGGGGAACTTGGGAAGTGAAGGAAGTCCATTGATTTTAATACCACACTTAAATACTAGAGCTTCTTTTGACTCTTGGCTATTGTGCCAAAAAAGAGGTTACCTTTAGTATCTCTACCTTACAAATGAAGGAAATAGAAGACTCAGAGAGGCGGGGCAACTTACCTGGTGAGGGATGGCAGAGCCATGATTCGAACCTGAACAGTGTAGGGTCCTTGTTCCTCACCACCTGCGTGTCCATCTCATTACATATCAGATGTGTCCACCTCCTGGTGGTCACACCAGTGGGACTGTTTGTCATAGGCATAGTGGGAAGCATGTGGAGCATGCTGGAAATCGTAGATGCGTATACTTTCATCTGGATTTGTGGATTTTCTAGTAGGACATCTGCCAGGCTGTGAGCTAGGATTGTGTGCCTGGAAGCTATGTGTTGCTATAGCTGTTCAGGCATGTCAGCGGGCGTACTGGTGGTGAAGAACTGACATGCCAAGTCAGTCTGGAATGTCAAGAGTTGAGGGACACTGGAGCTACAGGGAAATATTATTAAAGATGGCTCTTTAGATGTCAAGAGGGAAAAGATGACTCCTTAGGAAAAGAAAAGAAAAGCAACTGCTATCATATGGTGTGAACCAGGAGCTGAAGGATGGCTTTTTGAGGATGGCTTGAATGCATTAGATTAGCCTACAATGTGGATTAAGGGACTGTGGATTTAATAACTTGTGTATTAAAGAATAGACCTGGAAATGTTACTCTGTCATAAAAATGTAACCACTCTCATTGAATTTAGAAGCAGTGTTACAATTATTCTTTTAGTGATGCTTCTGGGATGCATCAAATAAAATATCAAAAGTTGCAATTGATGAAACTGAAACTACCTATGAGGGTTGTTGAGCACCAAATTCTGTTGCTAGTGGTTTTTATTGTATTTTTTCTGAAATGCACTAAGAAATTCTCCCTTTACATAATTTATAGTCATGCTGCTGTTTGAATGTGCCAAAAACTGTTCTGAGTGTCTTGGCAGTGTTTTGGAAATAGTATATTATCTTAGTCTTGGGCTATATATATAATGAACAGTCAGTATATATTGATGATAGTGTTTATTTTATGAGCTGAACTCTCTCCTATGGGCAAAGAAGGGAATAGGCTGATATATAACATGTGATGCTTAGCATGCCTTTAATGAGTAATGGTAGAAAAATACTCCTTTCTTTCCAGCTCACATGGCAAGTCTTTGTGTAGTTTTGCTAAGCTTGTGTCTGACTGCAAAGTCCTAATAGAAGATGACAGTGATTTTTTTTTTGGTATCAGGGATCGAACTCAAGGCAGGTGGCGGAACCACTGAGCTAAATCCCTGGCCCTGATGACAGTGATTTGAAGTGGCACCAGTGTCCTGCTGGAATAGTGCTGGCCACATATTCTGCGGTCCACCTCATGGTTCCAGGACCTTGTGGAAGTCATGAAGCATGAGTAGTAATCGTGAGCAAGGGAGTCCCCTCCCCGCAGTATTGGGAATTCAACCCACGGCATTGCACATGCTGGGTACGCACTCTACCAATGAGCCACATCCTCAGTCCCTGGGTCTTCTCCTTTCTATCCAAGGATAAGCAGATGGGGCAAGCATGAGGCTGGGAGGAGGGAGGAAGGGTATGTTTTGAACCTGGCTACATAATGAGGCATACAGTTGACTGAACTGTGTCTAAGCATTTGGAGTGGTGGGGGTGGGGAATTAGGAGCTTCCCTCTTACCCTTTAGGCAGTCTTCCCCCATCCCAGAAGTGGCATCTTCCATGTTAGAGAATATTGTAAAACTCATTCTTAAATAGCTAAGAAAGAAAACCAACAGCATACGAGTACTTGTTAGAACTTTATCACAAAAGGAATCACACCCTTTAAGTTAGGTCACCCACTACCACCACAGACAAAAACCATTTCCCTTTTCTGTTATTGCTCAGGTTTCAAAACATTTTTCTTTTTATTTTGCAAAACAATGTCAGAGAAACAAGTGAGTATTTCCGGGTCCATCTGAGGTCAGCAGGATCCCCAAGTAAGAGGTGCTTCATCCAATTCCTGGTGAAAAATCGACTCCTGGTGGAACTGTTAATTTGCAAACTCTGGAAAGAGGAAAGTTTAAATTTTTCCAGCTGCCAAACTTGGGACTTCATGATGAATCATCAGGACAGACTTTCTAGGCCAAGTGTGAACCCTGCTCCGGGCCACCAGTCTGAGGCCAGAGGAACGTGACAAGTTTATTTAGATGCCTTGCCAGAGTTCTGATGCCTGGGCCTGGGATCTTCAGTGAAGGAGAAAGCTTACTCACTTGAAAGGCTTGGATTACTGAGCAGCTCCAAAGAGCCACTGCAGGAGGGATTTTCTCCTTGCTGAAGTCTTTCTTAGCATCTAAGATACTAAGCAAAAAGGAAAGAAAAGATGAAAGAGAAGGCCCTCTTTAAAAATATAGTTAAGCCAACCCATTAAAGAGAAAACCAGAGATTTCTAAACTAATAAATAAGCTCATTACTTCATTGGGGAATTACAAGACAGCTCTGTGATAAAGTTATTTGGGAACTGAGCATCAGTTGACTCATGCCGGGCCTGGAGCACATTGGAATTCACCTTGTGCTGTGTGGAAGTTGGCAGCTGGTTGTTACATGCTGTGAACGCAGCAGTCTGCCGGCCGGCCTTCTGCATGCCCCGAGAGTGGCGAGGCTCTGGCACTGTAAATCTTTCTCCTGTCAGCCGGTCCTGCCAAGTAGATTCCACTGGCTGGGCCATGTCAGGCTCGGACACATCCGCCTTGGGGACTTTGTCCTCAGTAATCTTCACCAAAATCTGAGGGAACTTGAGTGACAGACACGCATTGGGCCCCATTTTTTGTTCAATTTTTGAAGTTGAGGTAAAAAAAAAATCTAATAGCCATCTTAACCCTTAAAAGTTAAAAAAAAAAAATTTACCATTTGAACCATTCTAAAGCGCAGAGTTCATTAGCATTAAGTATATTCATAGTGATGTTCTATGATTGGAACCATCCATCCAGAGAGTTATTTCTGTCTTCCCAAATGGAAACTCTGTACCTATTAAACAATAACCATCTAGGGCCTCTACCCTAGAGACCTCATCTTCGAAGAATCAATATCGGTCCCTTGTTCTAGCTTACTTCACTTAGCATAATGTCCTCAAGGTTTATCCACATGCCAGCATGTGTCAGAATTTCATTCCTTTTTAAGCCTGAATAATAAATAATTCCCTTTTCTCCCTGTACCACATTTTGTTTATCCATTCGTCCCTTAGGACGCTCAGGTGGCCTCCTTTCGGTTATTGTGAACAGTGCTGCCATGGAACATGGGTGTACAAATGCCTAAGTCTTCGCTTTCTCTTCTTTGGGGTGTGTGCTCAGAATTAGAATTGTTGGATCACATAGTAATGGGATTTTTTTTTTTTAAGAAGAGTACCCTGAGAATCTTCAGAGTATGAGATGAGATTGCAGGTTCTGTCTCCCTTTCCCTCAGGCCTCTCTCATCACTGGTCTAGTGGGAAAGGGAGGCCATAACTCAAGCCAAGTTCACCCAAATAGAACTTCTTAGCTTGACCTTACCTCTGATTTTCCCCACAACACACATAAAGTTTGACAGAATAAACTGAAGTTGCAGTCATATAAGTGACTCCTCCCCTTTCCTTTTCTTTTTTCGAAGACCACAGTTTGAAGCTACACTACACAGCTGTAGCTAAACTTGAAATCAGTGATGCTTCACATGAGAATCACCTGGTTGCTCACTGATGTCCAAGAAGTTCAAACCTCACCTCTAGAAATTTTGATTTAAGCCAGGTGTGGTGGTGCAAACCTGTAATTCCAATGCTAGGGAGGCTGAGCCAGGAGGATTGCTGTGAGTTCTAGGCCAGCCTGGGCTATATAGCAAGAGCCTGTCCCAAAAAACAAAACAAACGAAAAACAAAAAAGAAATTCTGATTGAATTGGTTTGAGGCCTGCCCTGGGTATGGGAAATTTTTGGAAGTCTTCAAGAAAATCTTGTGTGTATTTACCTGTGTTCCATTACCCAGGTGAATAACTGGGCCAGAATATTTTCTCTGTTCCTTTCTTTTTGCTTTCTTTCTGGTTATTTCTTTAGAACATACTTATAAATTTTATAGATAATTTAAAGACTTAGAAATAGCCGGGCATGGTGGCACACACCTATAATTTCAGCACTCTGAGAGGCTGAGCCAGGAAGATCAGAAGTTTGAGCCCAGCCTGGGTAATTTAGGGACTCAGCAAGACCCTATCTAAAAAAAAAGAAAAAAAAAAAGGTCTCGGTATGTAGCTCAGTGCAAAGGCCCTGGGTTCAATCCATAGTACAAAAACAGAAACAAAAAAGACTTTTGGAAATAGGCTTTTCTGGTTGGTTTTACCCTAAGCTACCCCAGCCCCAATCCTGATTTTTTGTTGTTGTTTGTCTGTTTTGGATTTGGTTTTTTGAGACAGGTTCTCACTCTGTAACTCAGGCTGGCTTTGAACTCTCTATGTAGCCCAGGCTGGCCTTGAACTTACAGCGATTCTCTTCCCAAGTGCTGGGATTATAAGTGTGCACCACTCTGCCCAGCTCACACACTGTTGTTGTTGTTTTAAACAACATTGCATGATGTCATTTGGAACCACAAACAGGAAGACCTATGTTACACTTTTGTGTATATCGTTATCTAACTAAGGATGATGGATAACTTCACTTGTCAGGATCTCAAGTTTAGAAATTTTTTTTAAATCCTGGCTTTAAAATTAGAACAGGTATCAGCAAACCAGTTAGAAGAATGAAATGAATGATAGTTTAAAAATGTCCCCCTGGTTCTCATGCCCTGTGACTGTGTGAATGAACAGGTGGAGCTGGTGGGAACTGAGAGGGACGTCATCCCCTTCCAGCTTCCGGTGTTCAAGAGATGTGGATAAGACGAGCCCCCGGGGCACTACTGGAAGTCTTGGCTGCACCAGAAGCAGCCTTAGGGCAGTTCTGACCTGGAATAAAAGGTTATAAAATAAAGATCTTAGAGGATCCCTCGCAGTTAATAAGAAGGAAGAACGTGGACCCAGGGAGGCGGGTAGGGACTGTCTGGGAAGTGAGCACAACAGAGGTCTGGTTCCGGTGGAGCCCCGGCCTTGGCCGCCAGGAAAACTGTAACCGCTCAGTACTGCCTCTGCTTTCCTTGTGCCCTGAACGCTTTCAGACTTTACACTTATTTCTCTCCTCCTCTCAGCAGAATGTGAATGGCTCAGGGTTTTTTCCATCTCCTGATTAACACGGTTAATGTGGTTGGATTAGGTGCCAGGGGGTGTAGGTGTGGAAAACCAGAGAATGCAGTCTTGTCCCGGGGGCACAGCATTTCTCTTCCCTGGTCACTTGCTAGGCCCTAGGGAAAGCGAGAGGGAGGCGCCTCCTCTCCGCAGGCTCAGCTCTGGGACTGGAGCGTGAGCCAGCTCCTCAGTGTGGCCGCCAGTGACGCAGGCAGCCGTGTGAACGCGGCCAGCCGCTGCAGCTGGGGCACAGGACTCCGGGCAGCGCGTTCCCAGGAATCCACAGGACACCGAGCACTGTGATGCAAGCCAGATCTGCCAGATGTGGGAGCCGGCATGAGTCACATTAAGAAATGTGCTCTGGGTCATCCGGGCGCTGGGCACAGGCTGCCTGCCTTGTGGTCTGGGCTTGGAGGAGGCACCGACTGCACACACCAGGAACCCCCAAGTTCACTAACATCTGTCAAAAATTATAGCCTGGTTCTCCGAGCTGACCTGCTGTGGAGCCCAGCTGGATCCTCTCTGGTTTGTAATTTGTTCAAGGATTTCAGCTCTTTGGGCAGCAGGGAAGTCAGATAAGAAAAGCTATGTGTTAAGTAGCTGCGAGGTTTTGGTACATTCTAGTAAGATCAGAGATGGGGTGAGATATTGTGAGAAGCCAAAAACTCTGTTGGCTGCGTGCCAGTGAAATGACAAGAATAGTAGTCCTTTTTTTGTTAGATGTGTACCTCATGGAGAATAACACGTGTGTTTCTGAGAAGTTATAAAATGACCTTTAAAACATTCCTTACTATTTGGGTATGGTGGTGCATATCTGTAATCCCAGCACTCTGGGAGGCTGAGGCAGGAGAATCACAAGTTCAAACCCACCCTGGGCAACTTAGTGAGACCCTGTCTCATAAAATAAAATAAAAATAAATAAATAAAAGAGGGGTTGGGATACAGTTTAGTGCAAAGGCTCTGGATTCAATCCCTTGTACCACAACCAACCAACCAAACAAACAAATTTCCTTACTGACCTATAACATACAGTCAGAGATATGTGTATTGTGGGTAAATTTCACACTCAGGCAGCTGTAGTTGGTTGAACAGTGGCCCCCAGAAGAGACACTCCCCAAAGCAGCCAGTATCATATTATTTGGAAGGAGGGCTTTGCAGACATAATTCAAAGAAGAGAAGATGGGATCGTTCTGGACCACCTGGGGGGGCCCTAAGTCTAATGTTAGGCATCCTTACCACAAGGAGAAGAGGCAGACAGACAGAGAAAACCAAGCAAGGAAGGCAGCTTTGGCCACTGGCACTCAGGAGACCCCAGAACCAGATCGAGGAGTATGGCGCTGCTGACACCTTGATTTCTGACTTTTGGTTTCTAGAACTTTAAGAGAATAAATTTCTATTGCGTTAGTCCACCACATCTGTGCTAATTTAGTGTTTGGTATAGAAACTTATACAATAACTCCACTCAGGTCAGGAAATAGAGTGTTACCAGCACCCTAGAACCCACCACGAGGACCATTCTTATTTCACAGCATCCCAGGACAACCACTGTTCTGACTTCTAACCCCTGAGACAGGTTTTATGCCATCTACACATCATTAAATGGCACCACACATTGCATAACTGTGTGTGCCAGGCCCCTTTCCCTCAGCACCTGGTGCAGTGTGTCCCTGTGGCTGGGTGTGTGGTGGTTTTTGTTGCTGTATAGTCACCCCTCTGTATCCATGGCTTTAGTTACCATTCAGTGCAGTCTGAAAATATGAAATAGAAAATTCCGGAAGTAAACAGTTCATAAGCTTTAAATAACTTCAACATATTATTATAATTATGCTATTTTATTATTACTGTTACTCTCTTTTGGTGCCTAATTTATCAGTTAAACTTGTATCAGTGGTGTGCATGTGTAGGAAAAACATGGTGTATATAGAATGTAGTACTATCCACAGTTTCAGGCATTCACTGGGGAGTCGTGGAACATATTCCCTACAGATGGGGGATCCACATGGCCCCGTGTCTTAAAGAGCCTATTCTAGGGCTGAGCGGGCATTAGAGCTCACCAATTTCTGGGAATCAAAGAGGCTAGGCTGCTGACTGTGAATTTTAAATATTCTTAACCCATCACTGGAAAGATGAATGCCACAGCTGTCGTATCCTCCATCTCGAGTCTCAGAAATAAATTTGCATCTTTTAAGAGCTCCAGTTTTAATTCTCCTTCCCAGCTTTCAAGTTTTATGCTCTCTAACTTAGGATGCAAGCACATG